CCTGACCTAAAATGGCGTTCAATGTCGAGATGAATCCATACCAGGAAGCTTCCATGGCTGCAACTCGACAAATGCGCATTGAGCTAAGAGCCTTGGCAGTCTCAACTACCCGACTGCGCCTGCAGGTACTGGGTAGGATCTCCACATTATCATCTATCACAACTCACAATATAAACGAGAGCTGCTCGGGTATCGCGGCATCAAGCGCCAGCAAGATGAGTTCTGCAACCGCAGATTCGGATGTCATGCTAGCGTTGATCAGAGCGAGATGCTGGTTATGCCGGAAATCGATTGACATAGACTCACTGCTAGCGTCCAAAAATCGCACATTTCCTCGGGCGTGTGGCAACATCCAACCTAGGATCAATTGACTCGACGTTGTACTAAGCATCTTAGACGCTTGTGTTAGCACAGTTAGCTGGGAGCAGATTGGGGAGCGGTATTTTTGACAAGCAAGAGCTTCCGCATAGAAGCGTAAGATCCCCATGAAGCCCGAGTACCATAATTGTGACCCTGGAAGCTTCCGACCTCACTGCCACAGCATCGACGCATTCCAGATGAGTTGGAGTCTGTACGGCGCATGCATTCTCTGGAGAGACCTGTAATTTGACCAACCTGCGGGGTATTGTATCGTTAAGCAGTCACGTTGACTAAACGTGCTAATGACGCGTAGAGCATATTACAAAGATACTGTAGGCACGGTGCTTCCAGGTAAGACAAGGTAGAGAATATTTGCATCGTTTTCATCATCTGCTCGAAACGCGCGTAGGGCTGGACCCGAGGTCGTTGCGAGGATATCGTTGCTGCTACTTATATGTATTCGTCGAGAAAATAGTTCATTTCGAAGCCAATGCTTAGAGTCTATCTGTATTTCATTACTATCCCCACTGAGCGATGGCGATCTTTGGATGGAGTACAAGGCCTCATGACACCTCTGCTTCGTGCTAAAATCAGAGGCTGATGCGGTATCATGCGTGCCATACAACTCAGAATCCGCGACCAGATACCATAATGCATGTCTCCGGTGTGTGCTACTATAGCTCACTAACAACGGGGGCGTATCCTTGAGTACGAAAATCACACGCTCTGACGTATCATGGGATAGATCTATTCCCGTATGATTGGTTGTATACATTTGTCCAACCGGGCAGAGTTCGTGAAGCGGGTGTGTCATCGAGAAAAGTGTAACATCACATTGTTTGAGTGATACGCAGTCGGAATGCAGGACATCAGTTCTCTGAAATATCATTCCTTCTCCGCCACTAGCATTCAGTGAGATAGGCCAAGCGTAGTTAAATTGGAACGGTAGCGATGCCTCCATCTGGCTACCATTGGGGCCATGAAGCACGAGAATGTTTGGTCGTAGGAGCACAACGAGCCACGGACTAGAATCTTCAGACTCAAACGTAACCCAGGTCACCAAAATAACCCTGGCAGCATCCGCGAATCGCAAGCTCATGTAAACATATTTCCCACTCAATGACTGCAAGATGACGCGCCGGTCGAGGACGCGCGATATCGACTCACTCGTCGCGCTAGTGTCAAGATCACTCTTCTCGC